AGCACATATTGAGAAGTCAACCCCTATTCTCCAAAATTCTCTGAATTTTGATGTCACTGAGCTTTATAACTTAGGATGTTTGTGGTAAAAGGGAATTTAAAGTTGACCAATCTAACCCCACCCAGACCAGCAATATTGAGTGAGATTGGCTTGTAGCTTGTGTGTGAACACTTGTGAAAGCAGAGAGCTTACTATTTCAGTCTCTTCCCAACAGCAGCATGTTCCGTTATTGGAAAATGTGAATCACCATATGTATTTTATATTTTGTTATAAATTAAGCTAAGGTGCCTCTCCATTCCCTGTAACTTTCACCAATAGTTTCTCATTTTTCCTTCTGGAAACATTCCTTACACATTTCTACCTTTTTCTGCATGGCAACCTTTGAACTACTTGATGAAATCTCTCAAGATCCTCATAAGTCCCTAAACTAAATTTTGTTACTGTTTTTCACTTTTCTTATGTAGTATGATTCCACTGGTCTTTTGTTGATAAACCCTCTTCTCTAAACCAAGCTCTAATTTGTCATTTTTCCTTTTAAATTACAGGTCCAAGTATTGAAAATATTGTTCTGGTCAGCCACTGGACTCTTTGCTTAAATCTGATAAATGTTTCCTTGGTTTAAAAGTGCACTTAATGATATGTATTGACTTTTCAGCATCTTGGGATGACTATGGAGAATGTATATAAATGGTCAGGACCAGATGGTCTTACCAAGCAATGGTGGCACACACCTATAATCCCAGCAACTTGGAAAGCTGAGGCAGGAGGATCACAAGTTCTAAACCAGCCTAGGCAACTTAACGAGACCATGCCTTAAAACTGTAAATAAATAAAAAGTGCTGGGAATGTTCCAGGATGTTGCTCAGTGATTGTTAGGCAATACAGAGATCCAAGGGAAAGCCCCAGAACAAGGTCAGCATGATGGCTAGCTCCTCGGGAAGCAAATCTCAGCACCAAGGAGAGCTCCACCATAAGTAATCACCACCCCATCCCTGGCACCCAGCTCAGACTTAACCCATTTATCTAACATTGATAAGTACCTATTGTATACCATACAGTGTTCTAGAATCTTCCTACATTCTTGGGTGGGAAACTGAAACACACACACACACACACACACACACACACACACACATATATATATATATATATATATATATATATATATATATATATATTACAAGATGCTATGAAGATAAAACAGGAGATATGAATAAGGAAATTGGGTTGTTTTTATTTTAAATGGGATAGTCAGGAAACACTTTTTTCCAGTCTTCCCTGAGAAGATGACATTTGAGCAAATACTTGAAGAAGGAGGGGCATGGACCATAAAGAAATTGGAGAAAGAATTTCCAGCAGTAGGAACAGGAAGTTCAAATGGTTCTGAAATAGGAGCATGCCTTCAGTGAGGCTGTGTGCTGGAGCAGATAGAGCCACCGGGGAGAGGCAGGAGGTAAGGACAGGTAGGTGATAAGGGACCTTGAGATCCTATCAGGTCTTTGGCTTCTCCTTTGAATGATGCAAGAAGCTCCTTGAAGGTTTTGATGAAGATGATTTACATAAGCTGGGCTACATACTAACAGAATCACTCTAGTAACTGGGCTAAGAAAAGACTGTGCAGGAAGAGAAAGGAAACCATAGACTATTGAGAGGATGTTTCCATATTCCTTGTAAGGGAAGACGATGATTTGGGTCATGGCAATGGTGGAGATGGTGAAATGTGATCTTTTCTGTTTTTTTTTTTCTTTCGTGGGGGCGTGGTTGGTACTGAGGATTGAACTCAGGGGCACTCTACCACTGAGCCACATCCCCAGCCCTATGTCATATTTTATTAAGAGTCAGGGTCTGACTGACTGAGTTGCTTAGCACCTTGCTTTTTGCTGTAGCTGGCTTTGAACTCGCAAAACTCCTGCCTCAGCCTCTCAAACCACTGGGATTACAGGTGTGTGCCACCGTGTCTGGCTTGGTATTTATCTCTGAAATAAAACGAACAATATTTGCTGATGTGTTCCATGTGGGTGTGTAAGCAAGAACAAAGTTTGAAAGACTCTGAAATTCTTTTTTTTACTTTAGTCACCTCGAAGGATGAAATTGCCATTAGCTGAGCTGAGGAAGACCATGGGAGGAACAAATTTATAGGGGAAGACTGGAAGTTTGATTTTAGTAAATGTTAAGTATAATTTGCTTGTCTGTAGCCCAGCTGTGGCAGGGCCATGGGTAGGTTGCAGGAAACCCAAAGAAAGCGCCTGGAGATAGCATGGGAGAAATATGATTTACCAGGGAAAACTTACTAGAGATCAGTGACTGCTCCAAGAAGAGTTCAGTAGCAATTGGCTGAACAGACAGCACCTCCATCCAAGGTGCTTCACCAAGCAGTGCCTTCTTTCCTCATGGCGTTTTGCCCAGTGGTGGCTGGATGAGTGACACATACTCTTCCCGCTGTGCTCTCAGTTCCATGCCCCTCTCCCACTGAGAGAGGAGTTTTATATACCTTAGACTGAAGAAGCAGTGACATCATCAGCATAATCTTGCTTAGTTTGCTTGTGTGGTCAGCTCCCAAGGAGCAACTGTCTTTGTATATGCAAGAAAGTCGCTTTCTACAGTTGATACTCTAGTGTGCATAGGAGAAAACTAGAGTTCTTCAAGTTGATATGTATGTGGACATTTCTGGCCCAGGCTTGCTCTCATTTTTCCCCTTAACTTGGCTAGATTTGGGGGAAACAGAAAGGGAACATTCAGGGAAATGGTGTTTTACTGTCTCCTTTTTCTTTAGGGATGATATATTTGCCTATTAGATATTCCTATGGAGACAGATGTCAAGTAGGCCGATGGACTGGTGAATTTAAGAGATCCAGAATGAAATTATATTTCAGCTTTCAGCATATAGCTGGCATCTAAAACTTAGGCTGTATTCACCATTAGAGTGAGGATTCACATTCAGATGCTGCTAACTCCTGTGCTATTATATACTGCCTTTAATGTGAACATTATTGTTTTCCTTATCCATCCAAGCCTAAATCTTGTTCATGGATTTATCGTGTATTATTTTAACCTAAATTGACAGGTATCGGTCTTTTCTTTCCTGTCTGATATCTTCACTGTTGCAATCTTGATCCAGGGTTTGGGGATTTTCCGAGATCAGTCGAGATCGGGCGCATTCAGGATGGTATGGCCGTAGAGGGTTTGGGGATTTTTCTATGAAACAAACCCAACAATTTTCAATGTTATGAAATACACACTTCCAGCCCTGTAAAACTGTGAGTTCACAAGGTTAGCTTTCTCACACAATGTCACGCAAAATAGGTTTGTATTTTATTGAGTGCCTTGCTACTACTAAACCCTTCATGAAATTTCATGGTGTAAGAGACAATTTCTACTTTAACGTGGTAAGAACATGGGACTTAGAGTTTGAGTCCGGGCTCTAGCACAGGGTTTTCAACTTTGGATGACTGATTTTATGAAAAGAAAAATAGTGCTGCTGACTTCAGAGATTTATGGTGATAATATAATGGGGTCACATTTATTAAAATATTTTACACAGTGCCATTTTATAAATGAATATTTCCACCTTTTGGAGTCTGTAAAAAATGACATATCTGGGTGATAGCATTGGTTTTTTTTTCTTTCTTTCTTTCTTTTTTTTTTTTTTTTGTACTAAAAGATTCTTTTTCAGGGCTCATTACATTATCCCATGTCATTTCACAGCATCCCGTCAACTCACAATGGACATTTTTAATGGACATTAATTTTTAATAACAATATAAACTAATATAGTTTAACATTCTATTGCATCAGTCTGATAGTATTCTTGAGTAGCCATTGAGGGATCAGGAAAAGGATAAAAAGAAAAGAAATGGTCAGTAATGTGTTCTGTTATCCAGGCTTCCAACCTAGGGTGGAGGATTGAGTCCAGACCAAAGGATCCATCCCTGCCCACTGCTCGACTTTCCCCTGGAGTAGCCTAGCTATGGAGGATTCCTTACTGGTTCTTAAGGAAAGCTTCCAGACACACAGACACTTCACTCCCAGGTAAATATGTTTCATCTTTTTAAGAACTGCCAGGGACACAGAAGTTTTCTCTGGGTTTCAAGTCTTATTCCCTGTAGCCATTTTTATATTATTGTTATTAGTAGTAGTCGTATCGTAGTAGTAGTACTGGTGCTGAAAACTGAAACCCAAGAGTGCTTTACCCCTGAGCTATGTCCCCAGTCCTTTCTTACTTTTTGTTCCAAGAAAGGGTCTTGCTAAATTGCCCAGGCTGACCTCAAATTTGGGATACCTCAACCTAGGCATGTGCCACCACACCCAGCTCCTGTGGCCATTTTTACATATCAATTTATTTTTCATGGTTGTAAGCACTGCAGGGAGGGCTGGGGAGGTGGGATGTTCCAGGGAAAAGATTTTCTTTTGTTACAAAAAAAAATTTTTTTAATTCTCCTTTTTCCTAAAAATTTATGGCTATGGGTTTTCAAAGGTATATTACCAGAGAAGAAGAATGCAAAGAAAAGAAATTGGGTTATTTTGCTTGTTTTACATTTACACTGTCCTTTGTAGCACCTATTTCTCTTGCTATGTAAAAGAATGACTTTAAAAACTACAGGAAGGTCTAGACCTTTTTGGTTTCCTTCAACATATTTTGCCTTTCCCTAACCTCACTATGACTGGTTTATGCTGTGTGTGTGTGTATGTGTGTGAGTGTGTGTGTGTGTGTGTGTGTATTGGGGAGGGGAGCATCTTCCAAATAAGATTTCTGCTTGAAAATTTTTCATCATAGAACCCTTGGAATTTTATCAGAGCTAGTTAACTAGACAAACCAACAAGTGTTTATTAGAATCCCTAGTAAGTATCTAGAGCTATGCTAGGCCAATTGGATACAACATTTCCTGGGTGTGAAAATGGGGATTTGGGCTTCAGCCCTGTGTCTGTGGATCTCACATAGCATTCTCTGAGACTACAAAAGAGTCCAGACTATGTCCTCTTCTTTCGTCAGAAGGAGGGCCATGCACAATCAAGGCTCAAGAAATCACAGCTTCGTAACTGAGTTTATCCTCTTGGGCTTCTCCAGAAATCCCAGGACCAATTGGATCCTTTTCTTCCTCTTCCTCTTCCTGTATTTATTCACAGTCTTGGGCAATGGGCTCATTGTTACCCTGATCAGAATAGATGCGCGTCTCCATACACCCATGTACTTCTTCCTCAGTATCCTCTCTCTGCTGGATCTCAGCTATGCCACCACTACAGTGCCCCAGATGTTGGTCCATCTGATAAGCAAAAATAAGACCATCTCTTATGCGGGGTGTGTGGTTCAGATGTACATTTTCCTGACCCTAGGCATCACTGAGACCTGGATTTTTGCAGCAATGGCCTATGACAGATATGTTGCTATATGTCATCCACTCCACTATGTGGTCCAGATGAGCCAAGCTCTGTGTGTACTGCTAGCAGTCAGCTCTGCCCTTTGTGGTCTTATCTGTGCCCTTGTCTACACAGTCTTTGCAATGAATCTTCCCTACTGTGGCCCTGATGAAATCAACCACTTCTTTTGTGAAATTCCTGCTGTTTTGAAGTTAGCCTGTGCGGACACATCCCTCAATGACCAAGTGGACTTTATCTTGGGTTTCATCTTGCTTCTGATCCCCCTATCCCTGATCCTGGCCTCATACATTCGTATCTTCACTGCTATTCTAAAGATTCGTTCCACCCAAGGGCAGATCAAGGCCTTCTCCACCTGTGCTTCCCACATCACTGTGGTCACCATGTTCTGTGTTCCATGCATGATCATGTATATGAGGCCTGGCTCTGAAGCCTCCCCAGATGATGACAAGAAGTTGGCCTTGTTCTACAATGTCATTTCAGCCTTTCTCAATCCCATTATTTATAGCCTCCGGAACAAAGATGTGAAGAGGGCTTTCTTCAGGTTATTTGGAATGAGTGAGGATGCTCAATAGGCAATGGCCCACGAATGTCTGCAGTGCCTCTGGTCTCTCACATACACCATCCACAATTTCACTGATGTCATTGTAATGAACAGACTTTCCAGATGAGGGAGGGATCTAGAAACAAAACCACTTACTCATTAATTTGGAAATGTATTCTACTGTCATGTATAGCTCAAAAGAACCAATAAATTAAAAAGAAAGAAAATGGAAACATGAGGAAAGAACTCAGAGAAAATTATGTTCATGGATTAAATGTATCATTGACATTCCATGGCTTTGGAAAGGTCACTTAACTTCTCTGTGATTTAATTTCATATTGGTCAAATGTGCTTCATGGTATTCATTATGCCTAAATAATAATAGCTGACTCTATTGGGCTTTTTCTGTATGAAAAGTATTCTAAGTATTCTACATGAGCTTATTATTTTAATTCTTACAATAACTCTAATGGTAGGTATTATCTCCTTTATTCATATTTTTTTTAAAAAAACTGACACAAGAAGATTAAATACATTGCCAAATGTCACCAAGTTAGAAAATAACACAGTTAATATTAAACCTAGAGAGCACAGTTCCATAACTCAGGCTCTTATCTATTATATTATGCCATACAACTCTGAAATATCCAATACTTTTGAGGCTTAGCAGAGATAATGAATGGTATACTATTGAGTAAAGTTGAAAACAATTAGAATTACTATTCTAAGTCACAACTACAGGGTCATATCCTTGAAGTCTAGAGTTGTGGTAGGTGCTTTAGAGCTTCCTCACCAGCATTCTGTAGCCTAAACAAACAGCATTGCACAATGCAACAGTAACTTCTCAATAAATGCTTGTTGAGTGATTTTACCTCCACCTTCATCTTTGATCTAAAATTTCCCCAACTCTCCTTTCAGATCTTCTTTACTTTCATGGGCTCCTCTCCTATTTCCATCATCTTTACCCCAACCGTGGCTTCCAGGTGTCTAGACTTGTATTTACAAGGAGAGTATCTTGGTTTCCAAAACTGACTTACCTTAAATTTTCTCTGCCACCAGAGAGACCACGGGGACAGCAGGAAAAGGACTGGGTCTCAGTGTTAGCTTAATTTCTCGAGATCTTGATAAAACCACATCATATATCTGGAGTTCAGTCCTCTCGTACATAAAATGGAGATAAGGACCACATATGACTGACTGCATCATAGAAGTATTTTGAATTTAAATGGGAACAGGACTTAAAACTTAAATAGTTGTATACATTGCCATCAGAGTCACTGCCTTCAAAACTAAGTGTCTTAGAAAATGTTCATTAAGTTCTGCTTAGAATGCAGCTCAGCAGTAGAAATCCCCTGGGCTCAAGCCCCAGTACTGCAAAAAGAGAAAGAAAACTTGTGAAATGCAGCAAGCAGTGCTTACAGGAAAATTTATAGTCATAAATGTTTATATATATTTTTTTAAATCTCAACTCAGTCACCTTAAGAAAGTAGATATAATATCAATATTAGTTTTGTTTGTCAACTTCAAATGTTAATATAAGGTTTATTGTGAAGTCAGGAGGTATGGATTGGATACTTATGGTGGCAATTAACTATATGCAGAGCCATGTCTCACACGTATGTGTGTGAGGACACATGCACACATACACATACCCCAAAATGAGTGGGAAACAATCACAACATCAGCTGCCACATAAACCAGAAAACAAACTAGTTCTACCACTATCAAAGCAAATCAATTTTTATCACTTCGGTTTCAGACAAATATAAAGTTGCTTTGCAAATGGTAACCCATGATGAATCTTTTAAATCAGGTACCCTTTATGTGTTTTTCTGATAAGACTTGATTATTAAAACATTCCAACTGCTTCTAATTACTTTGAAAGAAGTTTAATTTGTAAACCAAGAATCATCTAAATGTTAAGAAAATCCAAAAGACCAATAAACACTAAGAGTGTGCTTTGCTTATTAGCCAAATCATCCAGAAGATAAACTTAGGGGAATTTCCAAGTCTAGAGTATTCTTAGCATTCATTCCTTGAGCATTAAAGACATGCAAGTGCTAAGAATGATGTAAATAAAGACTGGGCACAGAGGCACACACCTATAATCCCAGTGGCTCTGGAGGCTGAGTCAGGAGGATCACAAGTTCAAAGCCAGCCTTGGCAACCCAACAAGTCCCTAAGTAACTTAGTGAGAACTTGTCTCAAAATAAAAAATGGTTTGGGGGTGTGGCTCAGTGGTTGAGCACCCCTGAGTTCAATCCCCAGTACCAAAAAGAGAGAGAGAGAAAGAAAGAAAGAGAGAGAGAGAGAGAGAGAGAGAGAGAATGATGCGGAACAGCAAAAAACAAAAAGTCCCCAGGGCCAGGGTTACTGCCTGCAGGTCACAGACTCAAAGGATGTAAGCCCTGAGGAAAGAGGAGCTTTGATTTTCTAAAGACAGAAACAAAATTGTCAGAAATACTGATTCCTGGGGCCTTGTTAAGAAATTGCTCTGGGGCCATTAGAGGGGGCTGAGGATCAGCTGCTGGAACTAAAGGGGCTGTCCTCTAAGTGCTCTCAGAGCAGTAAAACCCCACAGCAGGCCACCCAATGTCCCCGCCTCTACTGCAGCCAGTCCTGACTTCTAGGTGTTGGCATAGGCTGTTCCACTTGGAAGGCCCCTTCTCCCCTTCCGCAGTGCCTCCTTTTCATTCATTCACTCAGGTCTCTTCTTCAGGAAGTGAAGAGCTACTTCCAGCAAATATGGAAGTTTTTACTTCCTCATGGACTCTTAACACCACTAAGGAAGCACTCCACTCTGGCCTCAGAAGCAGAGTATCCAGCTGGGTGAGGTCTTAAAGGGTACAGCCTGCATCTTGGCCTTGAATTCCTTTAACAAAACAACTGTTAGCAGTTGTTTTGTTAAAGGATTTTTTTTTTTTTTTGCACATAAAAAAAGCTATTTTAAATGCAAATGGTTTGGACTCTCCTTTCTCCCATTTGTGGTAAAAACAAAAACAAATGTCCAGGGGAACTCAGCAAAAATTGGGAGCACAAGGAAACTTCCTCTCTCCAATAAAAGATGTCGTCCACCAAAATCTACAGCTAACATCACACATAATGACAAAAGACTAAGTGCTTTCCCATTAAAATCAGTACAAGACAAGGAAGTTGACCCTCCCTACCCGTATTCAAAGCAGCACTGGAAATCCTAGACAGTACAAGAAGGCAAGAAAGGAGAAGAATAGAAAGAAGAAAACTGTCTCCATTTGCTGATAACCTAATTGTCTATGTAAAACTAAAACACAAGCCCACAAGGATTCTACATAAAAAAAAAAATCCTAGAATTAGTAAGTGTAGCAATGTTGCATGATTCCAAGAAAATTTATGGAATGCAAGCCAGAGGCAATGGCATACACCTGTAATCCCTGCAACTTGGGAAGCTGAGGCAGGAGGATCACAATTGCTCCACTCTGGGCAATTTAGGGACACACTGTCATGCTGTTAAAAATAAATAAATAAAAGGGATTGGGAATTAGCTTGGTGATAGTGAGAAACTAATGTGACTCCATTTTTGAGAAACCAGCCTCTACCTCAGAACAAAGCCTGTCCAGGGAAGGGGGCGTGACCCTTGTCCTTGGAAAAACCCACAGAGCACTCCTAGGCACATACCCACCCTGCTGAGTTGTTTGTCTGTAAATAACAGAAGAGGTCTGAGGTGCCAAGTGTCCCTGACTCAGTTAGGCTAGGTGAGGGCCCATAGCAACTCCTTAGCAGCCTCCAATCAACATGAGACAGGGAAAATACCTGGAATGCCAGATGACCCCCCAGTAGATTATGGTGGTTGATAACATGTTGGGAAACCATGTGGTTTAGCACATACACCCCTCGTGGCCTAAACCAATTAGTTCAAAGGAATCCCCCTCTTGTACTAACCTATCACCCCTACCCAACTTGTTCCTGTTGGTAAAGATGGCACCCGGAGAGCTTCTCTTCCGGGAGCTCAGGTCCATGACGCACTGAATGGCACGCGAACCGTCACCTCCAATCCCTGCGAATGGCACGAACTTTGAATGGCGCACCTCCAATCCCTAAAGTGGTGCGAACTCTCGGCCAATGAAGAAGTAACAGCCCACTCGCCTTGCTCCTCCTCAGCCTGCGTTGAGCCCATAAATATCAACACCCTGTTCTGTTCGCTCTTTTACTCTCACTCTCACTCTCTTACTCTCCCCTCTCTCTCTTCCCCCTCCTCTCTCTCTCTCCCTCTTCCCTCTTCCCTCTCCCTCTACCTCTCCCTCTCCCCCCCTTCTCTTCTGCGACTGGCCTCTATGGTCCTGCTAATAAAATCTCGCACAGGTAAACGGTTGTTTTGGCTTGTTGAGTTTACGGAGCTTTTCCATCGTCCTTTACAGTTCCCACCAGTGAATGTGCTAATCAATGTTAAGAGTTGTTTGATTTTCCTGCGGTATGGAATGATTTGCTGTGTGATGTTGTGACGCATAGAGTATCCCCCAAAAACCTATAAAATCTCACTGAACAAAAGACCGGGACTCACTCCCTGGGACCCCTGCATCGGAACGGTTGTGAGTCCAGGCTCCAGCTTGCATTAAAGACTCTTGTGTGATTGCATCGGATTCAGCTCCTGGAGGTCTGTTGGGGTCCACAAATCTGGCATTACAGTAGAACACCCCTGGGCTCAATCCCTTGTACTGAAAAAGGTAAAGGAAAGAAAAACTCATGGAATATAGCAAAAATAATGTATAGAGGGAAATGTGTAGTTGTAAATGCTTATATTTAAAAAAATAAGGAAAACCTCAACTCAGTCAACTAAACTGAAAGTAAGCAGAAGGAAGGAAATAAAGATTTGAATAGGGATAAATAGGCAATAGAAAAAATTTTGAGAAAATGAAATAAAGAATTGCTTTCTTTAAAAGATTCTCAAAATTACAAACCTTTAACTAGACTGATCAAGGGGGGGAAGGGAAAAGACACAAATTACTAAATTTGGAATAAAAGGACATTCTTACCAAAAAAAAAAAAAAAAGAAAG